CAGAAATTAAGTGTTTTAATGTAATATTTTAAGCAAAAATATCATGATAACATTCAAATTTTTAAATAAAGATAAAACCTAGCCAGGCCAAGACTAGGGTAAGGGAAGCAAGATGAGTCATGTGAGTTTACTGTCATTTCCTGTCTTAATCATGATACTTTGCCAGGTGTATCAATCAGCTTTTCATTCCATTGACCAAATACCAAAGACAACCAACTTAAAGGAGGGAAGATTTGTTTTGGCTCTCATTTTCAGGGGTTTCAGTATATTATCAGCTGACTCCATTGTTTCTGGGCCTGTGATGAGGCAGAACATCATGGTAGAAGGGAACTTGTGGAACAAAGTTGCTCATCACATGGCAGCAAGGAAACAGAGAGAGAGAGAGAGGAAGGGGCCAAAAACAACCTACAGTTCCCCATGGGCACATCCACAAGGACCCGCCACCTCCAACTAGCTTACACCTCCTATAGTTTCCACCACCTCCCAATAATCCATGAAACTATGAATAGCAATAGATTAATCCATTTAGGAAATCAGAGCCCTCATTATCCTATAACTTCCCCAAATCTAAACATTGCTGCACTGGGAACCACACCTCCAATACATGAGTCTTTGAGGAACAATTCATATTTAAACTATGATATTAGGAATTCTTTATTAATTTTTAATTTTGCCTGAAGACATTAATCATCTTGATGACTGTCTGTCTTGGTGCCCCCTGTAAGTTTTGCACCCAAGGCAAGGAACTTACTCTGCTCTGTTCATTCCATCTTTCTTGACTCACTCCGAATTTGGCATCCAGGGCACCATGTCTCCTTTCTCTTGCAATCTCATTGTTACTCCTTCTCAGTCACTTTTGTTGGTTCCTCCTCTCCTCCAGCTTCTAACTGCTTAGAGCTCAACTCTATGATGTCCTCATCTATACTCATTCATCCTCTTCATGACCTCACCAGGCTCACAGCTTTAAATATCACATATGTGCTAACAACTCCCAAGTTTTTATCTTCAGCCCAAACTGGTCCCCTGAAATCTTGGCTAGGTATATCCATTTTACATGTAATGTGAAAAAACTCCACTTTCTGTTTTATACCTTAAACTTTCTCCCCCTATAATTTTCTGCTTCTCAATAGAGAGCTATTCCATCCTGCCCAAAACTCAAGCCAACAACTTTGAATTACTAAAAATAAGTTCTTCCCTTTAATACTCTCATTTTATGTATGATCCATCAGCAATTCCTGTTGGCTCTATCTTCAAAATACGTACAGATCCACTTCCCACTACCATTCTAATCCAAATGACTGTCAGTCCTTGCTTAGACTAATTACAGTTTTCTGTAAATGGTCTATGTGCCTCTTTCATTTCCCTATAGTTTCTTTTTTAACAAAGCAGCCAAAGTAATCACTTTTAAATGAAAATTCTGTTATGTCTTAGGTTTTAGGAGCTCCTCATTTCACTCAGGATAAAATCCAGAGCTTATAATGAAGCTTTGCACATAGGTTTTCATATCTGTGAGCCAGGTAGTCGTGCTCGCCTATAATCCTAGCTATTCAAGAAGCTGAGGCAGGTGGGTTGTATGTTCAAGGCCAGTCTCAGCAACTCAGTAAGACCCTGTCTCAAAATAAAAACTAAAAAACATTGGGGATGTAGCTTAGTAGGTTCAATTCCCTTTTGTTTTAGTTAGCTTATTCACTGCTGTGACTGAAAGATCTGACCAGAACAATTGGAGAGGAAGAAGAGTTTATTTGGAGACTCACAGTTTCCAAAATCTCAGTCTAGGGACGGCAGGCTCCATTTCTCAGGGCTGAAGGTAAAGGAGAATATCACGGCAAAAGAATGTAGTTGAGGGAAGCAGCTCACGTGATAATCAGGCAGCACACAGAGAGACTCCATTCACCAGATACAAAATATATACCCCAAAGTGATGCCCCAATGCCCACCTCCTCCAGCCACATCCTACTCACCTTCAGTTACCACTCGATTAATCCCTATCAGGGTTAAGACTCTCACAACCCAATACTTTTTCCTCTGAACCTTCTTATGTTGTTTCACATGTGAATTTTTGGAGGACATCTCACATCCAAATCATAACATCTTTACTGAAGGAAAAAAAAGTACCTGTGGATGGATGGATGGATGATGGAGGCATTCACACTAAATCATTCACATTTCTGTTTCTCAGGCTGCATGAGTAGAAAAGTTGATAGAATTTATTGTGCAAACCTGAACAAACCACTTAAATACTGCACCCTCTTCTTGTAAGCTTTTATTGTAAAATCATCTTAATTTGTTTTCAAAAAATAAATTGAAATTAACACAGTGATCAGGAAGCTTCCAAACCCCTTTTTGTTTTGACTACATTCCTGACCTCTTGTGCATACAGGCCACTTAGGGTGGCTAAAAATAAAGTCCTTTTACTCTGTTGTCACCTGCTTCCTATAGCTGTAAGTCCCATCTATTCCTATAGAGAATCATCTCTGAGCTTGATTTCCATGAACTATTTTTTTCTCTGACTCTCCTCTATCATTTTCTTTATTCTTCATAGAGAATTGCTTACTTTTGTCCAGCTAGCAACCATTTTACCCTTCCTCCTTACCAGGTGTAGCTCCGCCCGCATGACTCAAGGCAAATCCTGATTAAGAATCCAATTAGGATAATGCTGCTTCCTTTCCTAGCAACTGCATATCACTCCACTCCAATCTATGGGAATGGTCTGCTGGGGACTTTCAGAAAAGTTAACCTTTCAATAAAGAGACAGATGTAATGAAAGATTCTTCTGCTATTGGACATTGTGCTATCTGCATGTTACACCTGGGAACCTAGAAGCCATTTTTATAACCCTGAGGGAAGCTATCCAGGGACAAATCTAGAAATAGCTAAGAAAAAAATGATGGCAAAAAAACTGGGTTCTTAATTAATCAATGAGCTAATAAATTAATATTGCAGTTACCCTTTCTCAGGATTTCTTGATATATGGGACAACAGGACTTTTTTACTGTTTGTACAGTGGGTTTGGAATAGAGAGTCATTATTTGAATCTTCCCTGATACAGATGGCCATACACAGTAACATCACTGTATAAGATTTTAAGGAGATGGAAATGTTAACTGCCTTGATTTTATCATTACATGCTGTATTCAAGTATCAAATTATCACACTGTACACAGTAAATGCAAATGATTAAAATTACAAGAGCCCAGTTGCATACACAATTTGCATATAAGATAAGCTCCATATTACATATATAAACTTGTATCTAGAATACCCCTTTCCACCTCCGTGAACTGTTTCCTCTAAATTAAATGCCCAGAGCGGGGCATCTCATGTTGAGTTACCCATGTTAATTTCATGCAGGGCCCAGTCTCTTTGAGATCCCAGAAAAAGAAAGACACCTGCTTCCTCAGTGTGGCCCAGAAAGAAACTGGTTTTACATTTATAAACCCATGGATTGAAGTAACTAAAGTTTTATTATGCATAATGACCAAAAACAGAATCATTCTTATTATTATAAAATGAGATCTAAGGGAGAAAATTTGTCTTGAACTTTGTAAGACCTTTACAAACACTCAGTTCAATAGAACCGAGACAGAATCTCACAAAAATGAAACAGCTACAAGACATTTAAAAGAACCCCCACAGAAATGCATAATTTGAATCATTGTGATATATTTTTTTAAGTTTCAGACATTCTGAAATCTCTGAATCAAAAGCTGTTGGGTGGGATGTTCTATAGATAATGGTTAAATTTCATGAGTTTTTAGTATTGTTCAAGTTTTCTAAATTTTTTGTTGATGTTTTTCCTGGTTTTTCCATCCATTATTGAAGCCAATATATTGAATTCCAATTATTATTATTGAATTATCTTTTTCTGTCTTCAATTTGTCAGCTTTTGTTTCATTTATTTTAGTTGCTGATGTTAGTTTCATATACCTATAATTTTTAATAATTTCTCAATGGATTAACACATATGCCATTAAAGAACATCTTTATCTCTAAAAAAAATCATTATAACAAAACTACTGAATGCTTCAATGGAACTCTGTAAATGTTCATTCTCTCATGAAGTATTTGCTTCACTAAGGATTATTTTTTCTTTATAAAATTCACTTTCAAAGTTGAATCTCTGCATAGAATCCCTTGTTCTCTCTGAGTTGCTGATGAAGTCTAGCTAAAATTGTAAAATTCTGCTTTATTTCCTCCCTTTTTGGTCGGCTCTAGCTTCAGCTCCAGTATGGTTTTGGCAGAAATGGTTTTTTTTTCCTAGAGTTTGGCTAAAAATCCTCACTCCGGAAACCTCCAGATTGACATTGCAGAGGTTCTACTTGTTTATCTTTTCAATTTGACATGCCATACACAACCTCACTGATATATAAAACATCAGTACAAAATGTAGAAAACTTATTTTGCTTTTTGCCTCCATATGCTTTTTTTATGATGAACTGAGTTGTTTTTCCACAGGCAATGGTTTTCCTAAAGTAAAACTATAAAAAATAAAAGCTAAAATAAAATAATTTAAACAGAAATTTTGCATTGAGATTCTTACAGTTTCCTGTATTAAAAAAAATAGAGGATATTATAAAGTCTCTAGAAAAGTTAAAAAAAAAAAAGTCTAATTAGAAAGGCACTTTTGAGAAAGCCTGAGGTATGTCCAATTTACATGGCATCATATATTTCAAGATTTAATCATTATGGGTCACATTATCAAAGAGGCCTCCACCCTGAATTCCAGAATTATACTTACTATTATTGTATTTCATGTTAATGATAAATAAACATACATTGCCCAATTGTGTTAAATGGATATTTTGAGAGACATAAGAAACAATGAAAAAACAGCCTCTGCAGAATTTCCTTTTATTACAGATATGTAATTTAGTAAATATTTTGAGAATATGGACACAGCAAGGTTTTTGTTTGTTTGTTTTTAAAGAGAGAGTGAGAGAGAAAGGGAGACAGACAGAGAGAGAATTTTAACATTTATTTATTTTTTCTTAGTTCTCGGCGGACACAACATCTTCGTTTGTATGTGGTGCTGAGGATCGAACCCGGGCCGCACGCATGCCAGGCCAGCGCGCTACCGCTTGAGCCACATCCCCAGCCCAGGTTTTTTTTTTCTTATCTGACTTTTTGGTGTTATAATTTTTCACTTGCAAATATTCATCTGAGTGGTTTGCAATATTAGAAAATTAAAAAAAAAAAAAACATTGTGAATTCCCTTCTAAGATAATGAAAATAAATAGTCCCATTTCTGACTTTTGCCCTCAGTTGGGAGGCATAGTATATTGGTTTAGATTAGACAAATCTGACAGATCTAAATTTGTACGGTGGCTCTATCACCTACCTATCCATGATGTTGGGCAAATCCATTAACATTCGAGACAGATTCTTCATCTATAAAATGTATAGAAGAATCATCACTCCCCACACTCACTTCCATAATAGGACTTTTCACGCTGAATTATGATCATCTGGTTACTTGTCCATTTCTTCCATGACATTACGAGTTTCTTGGGGAAAAAAAAAAAAGAGCAGTGGTTCTCAATCTTGGCTGAACACTATAATCACCTGCGGAGCTCTTCAAGCTTCCAATGCCCAAGTTGCACTCAAACCACATAACTGATTATCTCTGGGGGTCATCTTAGATGTCTTTTTTAAGGTTCCCAGGCAATTCGAACATGAGTCAAGGTGGTGAACTCCTCTAGAGGCTTAGTGCAGTACCTGGCACACAGGAAGCATGTTAAATAGAAAGCAAGAGTAAACTCAGTCAGCAAATGAGTGAAAGCTATCACAGACCACATTGTAATACTTACATCTTCACCCACCAGGCTGAGAGCTCATAGGCTGTGAGAGCCACAGTCATATTTACTTTCATCTCCATCTCCTCACACAACGTCACCGTCCTTCACATTCCTTCATATATATTATGATCTCAGAATTCTGTTGAGATAGAATAACATGAAAAAAGAAAAAAAGAGGGTTTTTTTGTTGTTAATTAAAGATTTTCTTTAAGTAGATGAACACTATAAGTCTAGAATTTGTTCATAAGAGTTAAGCTCACCACCCAAAGAGTACAAGTATCACAGCTCAGACACCAATGTTAACAACGCCTTGTTTACTGAATGATCATATCTTATAAAACTGTTTGGAATGGCCTGTAATGCTGCCTCCTGTTGCAGTGAACACTTGTTCTTATGTTCCTGCTGCAGTGTGAAGTAGAAAAGGGTTTTTTTTTGCTCCCCTTCCCTAAATAATGCTGGAACATTTCTGAACTCTACAAGACAAAATCAAAGTCTCATTTCTTAGGGTGAAATATGTATTGGGTTTATTCTTTAACTTTTTAAAATTTATTCCTTAACTCTTTCTCAAACATAACAGTTTAAAAGTATGTGTTTATTTATTTCCCTATTATTTATTTACATGTCAATAAATTCATACCCATTAAAGTTTTGATGGAATTACTTTGACATGTAAAAGGAATTTCTCACTGGAAATTCTCTATATGATCTAGTAATAACTGGTAAGAAGGCAAAAGAAAAATAAATATGTATATATTAAAAAGCCAAATGTAAAATCAGCCAAGTATTTGAATGACAATGACTTCACGGGGAACTATGTCGATATAATAAATTGATATATTTTCTGTATTGAGCCACTGTTTCCATCTACTGAAATTTTTACATCCTATTATGCAATAATACCATTGTACAGATGCTTAAGATGACAAGACCAATGACCCCACTGGACTTAATTTACCTAGGTTACTTACGGACAGACTTTACTGGTAAGCTATAGATAGAGCCAAAGTTCTTTCTGATAAGTGTATACTGAGAACTGAATATGTGCCTTGCATAGAACCTGCTTTTGTAAATAACAAAAAATACAAAACACACACACACACATACACACACACACACATACACACAAAGAAAGGCAATAATGACTTTGCATAGTAGAGACAGAATGTAAAAAAATGGCAACTCAAGCTGAAACCATGCAAAGTGACCTTAATAACCAATAAGAAATTTTCACTAGTGGATTCTATCAAACATTTAAAGAACAATTAACACCAACACTTCTCAAACTCTTCCAAAAAATAAAAGAGGAGGAAATTCTGCCTACATGGTACCAATGTTATCCTGATACTAAAGCCAGAAAAAAAACATCATAAGGAAAAGAAAACTACAAACCAATATCTCTTGTAAATACAGGTGTAAAAATCCTCAATGAAATATTGGTAAACCAAATCCAGCAACATTTTTTTAAAAAGTATATTCCATAACCAAGTGGGATTTATCTAAGAAATACAAAATTCATTCAATATTGAAAACCAATGTATCATATTAATAAAATAAAGGAAGTAACACTATATAATTAGCATATATAGATATAGAAACATCACATTTGACAAAATCAATTTCATGATAAGAAAAAACACTGAACAAAACCAAAAAAAAAAAGGAACATTCTCAATTCTCAATCAGATAAAGGACATCTATGAAGATACCCACAAATGACTTTATTTGTACTGGCAAAAACTGAAATCTTTCCTCCAAGATCAGGAAGTATCAAGGATATCCATCCTCAATGTTCTATTAAACATTGTACTGGAATACTACCCAAAGGAATTAGATAAGAAAAGGAATTAAAGGCATCCACGTTGAAAAGGAAGAAGTAAAATTATTTCTGTTTGCAGATAATATGATCTTATATGTAAAAGCTTGTAAGAAATATCCCAAAATAAAAGAAAAACAGCTATAAAGCCAACAAATGAGTTCAGCAAAATTACAGGACATAAGAATTATACAACACAAATATGTATCAGTTGCATTTCTATATACCAGCAATGAATAATCTGAAAATGAAATTACAAAGACAATTTCATTTACAATAGCATCAAAAGAAACAAAATATTCAGGAATAATCTTAATTAAAATTCAAGACTACTTCACTGACAATTATAAAACATTGCTAAAATAAATTAAAGAAGACCTAAATCAATGAAAAGATAGCTTGTGTTCATGGATTAGAATACTCTTCAAATTGATCTATAGAGTCAATGCAATTCCTATAAGCCAAAAATATAGTAAGGGCTCATATTTTCCAATCTTAAAACATATAGTACAAAGCTACAGTAATCAAGTCAATGTGGCACTGGCACATATAGACCAACAGAGAGAACTAAGAATCCAGCCAAGTCCATTAGTAGCTGAGAATTAAAGTCTGTCTGCCAATGGCACCCGAAATGGCTGAGGCAATAAGTCACTCTTTGAAGAGGAATTTGGACAGGAATTTGGACATGCCTACCATATTGATGGATGTGATTACATTAAGAATAAAGACTTCTGTTCAATGAAGGATACCTTGGACAATGTTAATAGGCAGGAAGATAAAGGGTGAAGATATCATCAGTGTTTATAACTGATAATTACCAATATCTAGAATGTAGAAAATTCTTGTAACAATCTCAACCCCCAAAAATGAACAACAAATATAAATAGGTAATGTGCAAAAAAGAAAATTCCAAAAATTGTAAAAGCATATGAAAGGATGCTCAAATATCATCAGAAAAAAAGAATAAAGTAAAATAACAGCTATACACCTCCACACCTATTAGATTAGTAGAAATCAAAATCAGAAAGGTGAAAATAAGTTGGCAAGGGTGTGGGGATATACAAGTATCCATAAAGAAACATACTGTAAGTTGGTCATTGCAGCATTATTTGTACTAGCAAAGGTTAGAAGCTGAAAGTCCATAACTGGGAAAGTGAAAAAGTAAAATATGGTGGATGCACATCCTAGAGAACCATGGAGCAATCAGAAGCCACATAATAGATGTAAACAAAAAATAGATGGGTAGTAAAGACATAATGTTGAATGAAAAGATCTTTAAAAATAGGATAATATTAAGTGTGGCATATATACACAATGGAATATTACTCAGCAATAAAAGAGAATAAAATCATGGCATTTGCAGGTAAATGGATGAAGTTAGAGAAGATAATGCTAAGTAAAGTTAGCCAATCCCAAGAAAACAAATGCCAAATGTTTTCTCTGATGTAAGGAAGCTGATTCATAGTGGAATAGGGAGCAGAAGCATGAGAGGAATAGATGAATTCTAGATAAGGTAGAGGAGATGCAGGGGAAGGGAGGGAGCATGGAGTTATTAATGATGGTGGAATGTGATGATCATTATTATCCAAAGTACAGGTATGAAGACATGAATTGGTCTGAATATACTTTGTATACAATCAGAAATATGAAAAATTGTGCTCTATATGTGTAATAACAATTGTAATACATTCCATTGTCATATATATAAAATAGGATGATATTAAGGTAGGATGTCCTCCCTGATTCACACTATTGTATAATAGTGGATGAAAACTGAGAATATGACAGAATATTACTACCCTGACTATAAAGCAAAGGTAAAGAGATTTGTTTTTACTTTAATTAAGGTCCCTTATCAGTTGTCTTTAATCATAGAGAAACCATCCTGAGAGGTTTTGACCAAAGAATCAGGAACAGACACCTCAAACATTATAACTACAATCAAGAGTGTCCCTGAAAGACAATAGTCAAGGGAAATATTTCTTGAGGGAAGAAATTAAAGGAGTACATTCGATTTCCCTCTTTGTCAAGATTAAATATGGCCAGAGATATAGGTCTACATTGATTTATGGGCAGTAGCTAACAGTTTGGGTTGATGGTTAAAGATAAGATTAGAATATCGATGGCAAGAAAGATAATGGGAGATGTTTGTGGAGGGACTCCACATGGAACATGAAAACATCTGCTCACCAAAAGGCATCTACTGCGTATGAGTCTCTCAATACTCATGTGAAAAAAGATGACCATTTGTATGATGCCAGGCAGCATCTTCCCTAGCCAATCAGGTGCTTGCTGAATGAATTCACAAAGTAGATATGACAGCAGGGATGAGAGTTGTGCATTTGTTCAACAAACATGGACTTCTCATCTAGGCTGATCTTGAACTGCATTGCAATATGCATAAACTGCCACCAAAAGAGAGCAGGGCTAAGCCCTCAAGAGGCATCATTCCCTGAGGGGTGCCAATTAACTACTTTTCTGTATGTTTATTACATCAGACTTTTCCTTTCATTGAATACAGTAACAATTTGTCCTGACCACAGTATAATGTTATGCATTCTACAAATTATTTTTCCTTCTCTCTCTCTCTCTCTCTCTCTCTCTCTCTCTCTCTCTCTCTCTCTCTCTTTCGGTGCTTCTACCAGCACCATCATCATGTTTTATAGAAAACCTAATTCATTATATTCCGTGTGACATTGTTTAATTTCACACAATAATGCATTTGACTAAAAAACTTAACACAACAGAAGAAGTGCAATAATGAAATAATATCCTTGGAATTCACCCCCCCCCATCACTTGGCTATACCTGGCCTGACAAGATGTGTAATGATCTATAGAGAGTCACTGCTATTCCAATTAAGAATATCCTAAAAATCAGGTTCTGTGGCCCAGGTTTATAATCCCAGCAATTTAGGAGACTAAGGCAGAAGGATTACAAGTTGAAGGCTAGCTTCAGCAAATTAGTGAGGCTCTAAGCAACTTAGTGAGATTCTGTCTCAAAATTTAAAAATGAAATAAAATAAAAAGGTCTGGGGATGTATCTCAATAATAAAGCACCCTGGGTTTGATCCCTGTACCCCTCATCCCAAGAAAAACATCCTAAAGGCTGAGGGTCTATCTCAGTGATACAGTACTTGCCTAGAATGTGCAAACCCTGGATTAAACCCCCAGCACTACAAAATAAAACCATTTCCTCAAAGTTTGGGGCTATGTCTTATAAAATACCATCATATGCTTTGAATCAGTGACCAATATATGATACTGTTTCTTCCATGGTCAAGAATACAAGAGTCTAGGAATCAATGTCACTATCCTATCTGGTTAACACACTGGCAAAAATTTAACTTTCCATCTCCCACAACTTTAAGCTCTGCTGATTTAGAGGTTTTCATTGAATGCTTCCACAAGTAGACATAACAAATGTTCCATTGGTCTGAAAGTTGAGAGGGCCACCTGTCAATTTGGGGCCTCTGAGCCCAAAGGAAAAGAGATCACTTTAATTACTAGGTGATAGATAATGGTTAACAATAAGAACTTGGATGCTGCTGCACAATGCAGGCAGTGAACACCCAGAGATACATTGGGGTGCATCTTAAAGCTTCTATTTCTAAGAGTAAAAAGTAATCAAAACTACAGTTATCACAAAATGACTGAACCACTGAAGAAGTAAAAACCCCTGAAGAAGTAAAAACACTGAGGAAGTATAAACCTTTGGCCAGGTAAAGAACTAACTGAAGTGATAGCTAAAAGCCAAAGAAATATGAAACAGGTAGTAGAAAAAAGTTACAAATATCAATTATACCCTTGTGACCAGTTCTAAAAAAAACATTGAGAGCATCAGCTTCGCATATTTTCTTCTTGCTTATTATGTATATTTCCATTTTTTTCTATTGTTTTATATAAGGACTGTTGATGGTAGTATAATTGACAATTCAGTCTTTAGGTAACTGAAATAGAGGATTAGTTAATTGCCTGTATGTGGAAAAAGTACTTGTTGGCAAAGTTGAGTCTTCTTTGGCAGGAAGGAAGAAGTAGAGGGCAAAGAAGTCTTCTAAAAGATAGTGGTATCCAGAGCTGGGGATATAGCTTGGTTGGTAGAATGCTTGCCTCACATGCACAGGCCCTGGGTTCAATCTCCAGCACCACACACACACCAAAAAAAAGATAGTTGCATCTTACTAAACAGAAACATAAAGTCATTATTGTACAAAGGTGCTGATAGGGTAGAAGCATATTATTAAGGTATTGTCCTTCAAGTCAATTCTTCCCTTCTAGATCTTGCTTTGTAAACCAGGCCTGGCACTCTTTAAAATCACTTCATCAGCTGGACCCTTATTAAATGCTGTCAAAAAAGGGTTGTAGAGTGAGTCTGGAAGGCAGAGAAAAAGCAGAAAGGACTTGTTCCTTTTTGTATGCCCACCCTTCCTGTCAATGTTCCGAGCAATGGTGCTTCACCCTGGCAGCAGTAGTGTGTTTCAACCTCCTACTCTTTTTGGCACTCCCAGCAGCAACCTTATCGTGCCCTGCCTCCATCAGAAGCATTATCAACAGCTGCCAATGTCTCCTGAAGTTTGAGTCTCCCATTCCTCTTACCTCAAGCTACCTCTACTAGTTAAGTAGCACTCCCTCTTCAGAGGGCTGAGTCCTAGTTCCCAGAGACCCTTCCTCCTAACTTTAAAGTACTAAAAAAATTGATTTCCTATATTTGTTCCCCAGCCCTACTGTTTGCTACATTATCTCCATTTTTCATCAGTCTTTGCCTTTTGCTTACCTTAAACACTGTATTAAATCACCTAGTATGGTTTCTTTTTTGCCTAATGGAACTTGACTGATACATACATGATGGAGAGCTGCATGATAAGCAGAAACACAGGTTAGTCATACATATAACAATACAGAAATCATAAAGAATAATCCATACAGAGTACTGAGTGAAAAACAAGAAGTAAAATGGCATATTCAACATAATATCAATTTTATCAATCAGTGAATCCATCCTATGATGGGATTAACTGGGTGGTGGCTGAAGGGAGATAGGGTGTGGCTGAAGGAGGTGGGTCATTGGGGATATGCCTTTGGGGTATGTATCTTGAAAGTGGAGTCTTTTTCTGCTTACTGATCAATACAGAGCCACTTCCCTCTGCCACATTCTTTCACCATGTTGTTCTGCTTTACCTCCAGCCCAGAGGAAGGAAGCAAGCTATCTGTGAACTTGGACCTCTGAAACCATGAGCCCTCAAATAAACTTTTTTTTCTCTGCAATTGTTCTGGTCAAGTCTTTTAGTCATGGCAGCGAAAAAGCTGACAGAAACAAACACATTGGTCAATGATGAGTGGTTCTCCCTGACTAGGGTCAGTTCTACTGAGATTATTACTAGAAGAGCTAGAGTGATTCTTCAATACAATATCAAATTCATTAAAACTTTTCTAATTCTGCACAATCACTAATAACACACACACAATAGCACTGTTTTTACATCGGATATGTCAAGTCTGAGTAGCTCACAGAGGTAGAGCTGGTCTTAAAAGCGAGGACAAAGAAGGTGACTCATGGCCATGTGGCTATATTTTAAGAATGCTTCAAATTTCTCCTTCCTAAAATATCTTTTCCATCTGCTAACTACAGTCCTAAAATTCCAATTACACTACTGAGATTTATTGTTTGGGACCTTAACATGGACCCTCCAAGCTTATTTGGAAAAATAGGCAAATGTCTTTTATCACTTATCAACTTTTAACACCTTACTATTAATTACCTTATCTGATTTGTGATGAGAATGTGGAAGGCAACAGTGAGGAGTTCCTCAGAAAGAAGTGTCCAAATGGCTAGAAATGTCACAAAAGGCAGACCTGGAACTTATGTGTTAGAGAAAAATTACAAAAGGGGTGACCAGTGATAGAATATTCCAAACATACCTACCTGATTCACAATTTCTCTTGGTAAGAACACTACCAACGATACCACTTTACTACATCTTCCAAGGGCATCCTGTGAGAAGATGTTTGAGAATCTAGTCCTTTCTGCCAACAAGACAAGTTCCATATTGGAGAGTTGGTTGGAGAATGACATTTTTCCCAATATACAAGGAGAGGGGACATTGACTAAAGATGGTCACTGAGAAGACTGTCAGTTTCTAAGAATTAACTTGAAGTATTTTCACCTTCTAATGTCTAATAGTTAAGCAAAGAAGTTCATAGGACCCTTAATCTTTCTTAATAACATGAAAGTGCCAGTGCCTAAAAGTCACTTTTCCCCCAGTTAATGCAGTAAGAATAGAGAACAATACCTTAAAGCTAGCTTCCCAGTATCTGAAGCAAGATATTGGTTTTCCTTACAGGCACTAGTTTTGAACTCATTATAATTAAGTTTTTTATTTCAACAGTCCTATTTATCAAAAAGGAATTACAACAATATACAACAATAAAAATCCTCCCAAAAGATTAGTGAGTAGATGGAAGGAGAAAGAAGGAAGGAAGGAAGGAAGGAAGGAAGGAAGGAAGGAAGGGAGGGAGGGAGGGAGGGAAGCCAATTAAGGGAAATGGGATGAGGGTGAAAGTGGTTTAAGAAGAAGAAATGAAAAAGTAAAGAGAACTTTTTATTATGTGTAATTTATTATTGCTTGACCTTTGCTTACAGTGATTATGTATTCACAAATTCTTTTAATGATTTAGACATCAGTAAAAATTTGTACTTGATTCTATTAAAACACTTTTGCTCTCACATTGGGATTACATTCAAGGAAGGGAGACAGGATCATCTCTGTGGCCTAGTTAAGTGGTAACCAACACAGAGAAAAAGTGTATCCTATAAATGTCTGCACTGCCTGAATTAAGCTTAGGAATAATGCTCAAATGATCTAAAACCAAGCTGAATAAAAATGCAAAATATGCCAATTCTTTGGTACATACACTTTTTTCTTCCCGAAAAGAATGAACTACTGCTGTTCTTGAAAGTGTCATAAAGATACAGGTCGGTTATGCTGCTCCCCTGGATGGGTTTCCGTTGGTAATAAATGATTTTCTGAGAGGTTTGAGTTAAAGCTCTTATGTAAATAGAGAGAGGCTTACATAATGCTCTTTAAACTAGAACTTTGAAGACAATCTGCAGTAGGCATACGAAATCTGTCTGTGCTGCAAATGGCATCTGAAAACTGACAGGAAACCATCCAAGATGCGGTTTAAGAAAACAGAAAGAATAAACACGGTTCAAGCTTCTGATCAATCATTTAAGCAAACTTCAACCACTACCAGAGAATACGTAGGAGGTGTGTCTCGGGGCTTATAATAATGCTACTAGCCACAGTATATATTTTCAGGGGCGCTCACGAGTATTATTCATTGTAAATTTCTATGTAAATTCTACAGGGACTGGGGCAACGCCTTCCCCGCCCAAGAGTCAGATGGTGCGGGTTCCCTTGCTGTGAGTTTCGACAGTGCATCATCTCACGGAAGATGCTAAACAAGCATTGATTTTCCAATTTCCAACAGGAGTAACCAGTTTGAGGAAAGGCATGCTCTCGGGGAGGGGAGGAAGCGTCTGTGTGAAGGAGAAACACTTCAAACTGCCGGCTCTGCGGAGAAGGAGATATGGAGCTGTGGGGAGCCAAGCAGCGGCTTCTCTGCTCTAGGAAAGAGGCTGTAAAGTTCGTGCCACAACATCTGCGACGTTTTGAGCCTTCTTAGGAGAGATTTCTTATTGTTGGAGAAGGCAGGACAGATTATCTTGTATTTGTATTCTTTCCAACCTCACCTCCATTACTCCGATCCTTACTCCCCCAGCTCGGAAGTCCGTGCGTAAAAAGAGTGGAGTGAGGGCAGGGAGGGAGAGCGCCGGCAGCGATACGGCCGTGGTCAGTTCAGCCCCCCACCCCCACCCCACCCCTGGCCCACGCGGGACTCGGGGCAGGCACCCTACCAGTCTCCCCAGCCCCGCCCCACCTCCCAGCCCCACAATGCCTGGGCTCCAGTCTCACCAGGAACTGAGGTGAAAACTTTCCAGTTCCAGATATGGGATGGGCCAACCTTTAGGTGCATTCTAACCCTAGGTTTGGATTCCATAGGGGGCTGGGAGTTCGCTAAGTAACCGCCCAGTCAAAGTGCGTTTGGCAGTGAGCTGGGGCCTCGTGGCACTAGGGCTTGCGGTGCACCGGCAGCAGCCAGAGCCTACCGGGCCCTAAACCTGCCAGAGAGCCAGCCCTGCCTCAGCCCTCCTCCACTCTCTCCACCGAAGCCCTCCCTTGCGCTCTGGACTGCCCCGCCGAATTCCGAGTTGCAGGCAGAGCCCCCTCCTCTTCTGCATCTGCTAACTCTCCTACCTCTCCCCTTCCCCCGCCACGTAAGTCACTATTTACCACCGCGTAGACCAGCTCTCACGCACGCCTGCCCTTTTCTCCAGAAGCCTGAAAGTGGCTGAATGGAAACACTGACACGTGAAAACTCTATTCTCAACGACTTAGAATAGGCCTCCTTGAGGTTTTAATCTTGGTTCCCTCGTCCCGCCCAGTGATCGTGGCAGCGGTCCGAAAGGTCCCGGTATTCTTTACTGTTCCTAGGAAAGGTGATGCGAGGAGAAATGAGGGAGGGGCACTGCGAACGTGAGAGGTCCGAGGCCACACAGTGTATCAAGAAGGAAACTCCAAATCCTAAAGGAATTTAAGTCCTCGTGCATTGTTTCCAAACCAAATCCACATGGCAGTTTTCTTCTGAATCCTGGAACTACCAAGCCACGACTTAGAAACAGAAAGAAAGGACGCGCCACTATGGACCATCTGCCGTGGCGGGGAGGGTACTTCTCCCCGCCTAATTCTGCCCTTTTCTCTGCTGCCTCCTCATCAGCAACAGGTTTTCAAATGCGGAAAACGTCTCCTCCCTCCAACTTGACCGACTGTCTACACAGTGGCCCAGGTTAGCCACGTGTTCAAGCCATACAGGGTTAAGCAGAGGCCGAGTTAGCCACGCCAGAGTGGGTGCCTATGGTCAGTATAGTGTGAGGTGTAGAAATGTTAGGGCACCGCTAGGGAGATGGCCGACAAACTTATAAAACTCTTCAAAAAGAAAGAGTGCTGTTTGGGGTTTTGGTTGTCCTCAGCCTCTTAAGAAAACTGGGTTTTGGGTTTTGTTTTTTTCTTCTTCTTCATCTGCTCTAAACACAGCATTTTGGATCAAGTTGCGACCTTGCACTTGAAACTTAGACATTTCTACTATAAAGAGATACGTGGTGCATTTTGGCTGGACTTTCAGGACTCTTGCTGCTTAAATTTCCCCGGGCCTGAGGCACTATCCAGTGGCCCAGGCTTGTTTGGGGGCAGCTGCTAAGGGTTCCCTTAATGCTCCTGGTCTGCCTGAGGACCCCGGGGTCAAGTTCCTAGCTCTCCAACTATAGTATCAGTGCAAGGTAGAGAATGAGCTTAATTCTCTATAATATGACCTCCAATCTTGATGGCAGCCAAAGAAGTGGGAATGGTGACTAGACATCTCCAAACCCTGACCTCAGATAAGGAAAATCCTCAAGTCCTGCCTGTCAGCACTTGGCATTATATTCCTGAAACCTAGAAATGAAAATAGAAATTGTTTGATGTATGAGGAGACGTTATCTAATTAGGGCGTAAGAAATTTAATCTTTCCAGCATGCAGGTCATATAATTAATGTTAATTTAACGCTCAAATTCTCAGTCATTAATTTTTATTCTCTTAAATGCAGTTTGGCAGGGCCCCTGATCCATGGCAATGGATTTTACTGGATGTGAGAGCACTCTCAGCCTTAGGAGTGACTCACTGCAAGCCTTCCTATCCCAATAACAAGATCACATCATGTATGCATTATTAAGCCACATAATTGAACGGTCGATAGTTTGCATATCAGACTATTAAAATAATGTGTTTTGCTTTTCTCTGAACACGTATTGTTCAAGTCTCTGCGAATATGTGGTGATTCTGATAATTATCATCAAATTACTGCAAATGTTCTCTTCATTAACATGATTTCTTTCAAGCATTTTTGAAAGTGTGAATATCATTGTAAATTAAGGAACTTCGTACAAAGTTTTGTGAACTTTTTTTTTTTAAAGAAACTTGTCATTGGAAAGGAAAGGATATATCATAAATAGAGGAAGTGGAGAAATGCTTTTGACTGTGCCTTTCAAATGGCTTCCTCGGGTCAAATGAAAGTTTTTCTGTCCCATTTTTCATGAAGTTTGTAGGCAAGAAAAGGAAAGAAACTGGGAGAGAAGGAGGGCATGAGAGAGGAGAGAGAGGGGGGGGAGGGAGGAGAAATGCTAGCTTTAAAAGTAACAGGGAAGTAAGAATTTTTTAAGGTTCCTACTGTCTGCCTCCTTTTTGGTGTAAATAGCTCCACAAATAAAATCTTATTTTCCTGACCTAGAGTAAATTATATTTTTGCTTTTTAAAAGCACCAGCACAAAATTTTCTGACGCTAATGGTTCACAATTAACTAAATACTGTTGTTTCCCCTTTGCTGTTATGAGCTATACTGTTAGAGAAATTATAGGCTCTAAAAAGCCGTCTTGTAAACTTTCCTTAACACTCTGTTTCCGAAGTTGAAGAGCAAGGCATTTTTTAAAAAAAAACTTGCAAAATAAGAGTCTCTCTTAAATGTAAGAAATTTGCATCTACACTACTTTTGAGCAAAGTTTTCCTTTGAGTGATTTTAAAACTCTCATAACGGGGCATTCCAAAGCCAGGGACTGTTGTTCCTTCCTGTTCACTGTCAATGCTGCGTTCGTCCCTCTCCTCAGAGGACGCTTTCAACGCAGAATCGCTGCCATCAGCCCTGGAAGAGAGGGGTTTCAACAGTGGGGAAAAGTCCTAGGAGTTTGGAACGTCGTCTGACGTTTCAAAAAAAAAAAAATAGGACAGCAAAAGAGTGGCCAAGAGGAGACAGAGATGCACACACACACACACACACACACACACAGAGAGAGAGAGAGAGAGAGAGAGAGAGAGAGAGAAGACTGCTGTATCTGGTGGATTTCTCCGGCACCAGCAGTAACCTGCTTGGCTGTTCCCTGCTGGGCGGGACACCCCCTTACTCCGTGCCGGGGGGTCCTCCGGGCGCCTCTCCTAGAGCCCGCAGTCAGCTCTCAGAGAAGGAGTGCCAGGCCCCCGGCGGCACTTTTATTTTGGCTGAGAGGAGGGAGCGTTGCTCCCAGGCCCAGGGGAAGCGAACTGAGCCCTTCTGTTTGGATTTCCCTCCTCGCTATAGCAACCAGCAGCATCCGGACAAAAATGCGCCCTCCCTGGACAATGGCCCGGCCTCCCGCTTCTGGCCCTCCCCCGGATAGCAGCCAGGACCTGCCTGGGCGCTCTGCTGCACGGACCCCCCTTCTGATTACTCTCCTAGCAGTCCCTCTGGAGGTCAGGCCAGGGCTCCTGCACTCTGAAGCCCCTTTCTCCCTCTCCTCGCCCATGCAGGCCAAGGCCGCGACACAGAATCTGCCCGCCGAGCCCTGGGGCTCAGGTGGAGTTTTTCCGCGGGATTGTGAGGGTGGTTGGATGGCTCTGAGCAGCACAAATTCAAGCATTTTTCAAATACGTGTGTGTGTTTGTGTGTATGTGTGTATGTGTGTGTGTGTGTGTGTGTATTAGAATAATGCATAAAGCAGACTTCACCTTCCCTCCCTCACACGCCCCCGCCCTCGCGCGCGCGCACACACACACGTAAATATAAACACCCCAGACCGCAGTCCTAGGCGTGATCTCTGACTTTCTTTCAGTCTCCCAAGGTTAATTAAGTTCCCTTCTAGGAACTGAGCTCAGCGCCTATTCATTATTCTCTCTCTTTGACCTAGGGCGTTAATATGATCAGGCCTGTGACTCTGACTGTCCTGTTTTCCTATTTTGCATTTAATGCTGGAACCCGGCTGCCCTAGATTACCATCAAAAACTCTCAGAAAAACACGAGAGGAGCGACGGAGTCTTCTCCGACCTGTCTAAGGCTTCCTTTTTCTGGGTCTTTTTTCCGGCAATGTCAGCCTCGACATTCCCAGGTCCCACATTCTGGAAACCAGTCTTTTAAAATGTTCTCATCCTTAACTTTATTATCACGAGGGGTGCCAGAATGACAGAGCTGGAACTCACAGACTTAGTCTGAGGTCCTGGCCCACAGTTACTACCGCTGTGGTTAACTGCTCTCAAGAAAATGTCTCTCTAGTGCCTCACCCCTCCCCCGCAGGCTGTGGTCCTCTGGACTCTACAGACGCAATTAAGTGTACTTGTACACTTTAAAAGGGACTTGTACTCATGCTCCGTGCAGCCAGAACCGAAGTGAAACTTCAACCAAAATCAGTGTTTGCCCCAGCGATAGAGACCAAGTCCCAGCCCTTGAAAATAGCTTCAGTGAAATAGCTGAGCACATCCTCTTCTGACCCCCCCCCTGCCCCAGCCCCCACAGCCGCCGCTGCACCTTGTGCCGGTGAGCAGGTGTGTGCTGGTGCCCCCCTTTCCACTTCTCCGATTGTACCAAAGGATGAAAGAGGCAAGAGGCTGAAGGAGGAGCTTCAACTCAGTACATCACCAAATATATTAGAACTAAGGTTTTTATTGAAATCACTTTAATTTATCAAACAGTAGTCATCCCCTCCTGGTGGCCATCCATCCACCTGCTTTAAGATGAGAAGGGAAAACACACCCATTTGGATTCCATTGTTAAGGAAATCATTTAACTGTTAGTCCTTTGAAAATGAAATTCCAGGAAGGTGAGCTAGGAGCCACAAATCACCTCCTGTTCTTTTTCTGAGAATTCAACACAAACACGTTGTATTAACTCCTTTAAGTAGTATCTATCTTATGCACTGCTGGAGTGTGTCCTTTATGCTTTCTCCTT